GGGGGAGGACGAGCGCGGCGGGAGGAGAGCAGCGTGGCGGGAGGAGAGCAGCGAGGAGGGTGGACCAGCGCGGCGGCCGCCATCACAAGCCGCCGTTCACGGCCGTTCGCAGCCGTTCACGGGCCGTTCGCAGTCGTTCACGGGCCGTTCATCGCCGTTCACAGCCGTGAACGAAGTGCAGGCTGTTTAGGGCCTCTCAGCAGCTCTGCGGCGTTTGTGGGGGGGGAAGTAAGGGTCGTCGCTGGTGGCGTTTGGTGGCCCGCCGGTTGGGCGGTGGGTGAGGGGTGCTGGTGTGCTGTGGGGGGATTTCTGTGGGGGCTTCCTGTGGGGGCTTCCTGTGGGGGCTTTTAAGTGGGGGGCCTCCGGTGGGGGGCTTTCAATGGGGTTCTGTGAGGGCCTTTTCGTGGGGGGGGCTTCCGGTGGGGGCTCCCGGTGGGGGGCCGTGGCCTGCAAGGCTTCCGGGGGGCTGCTGTGGGGGGCTTTCGGTGGGGGATTCGGGAGCGTCATAATGCCTCCAAAGAAGACGAAGGGGGGGGGGGAGGGTGCTAAGGAGCCCTTCAAGCCCGTCAGCTCGGAGAAGCAGTGCGAGGCAATTGCTCGCTGTTGTGTTTTCAAGTACCTTACGAAGGGGCAGTTGCAAGGGGAACTACAAGATGAAATGTAATTTCTGCGACAAGCCCCCTTTTCAGGGCAGTTAATCGTGGGGGGCAGACGACTTCGCCAAGGGGCGGTGCCCGGGGGTAACGCCGGAGATACTCGTCGACATTTGAAACACGACGGAGTACCCCTTCGATAAGCAGCGAGAGAGACAGGTGCGGGATTATATGGAGTATCATGGCATCCCGAATGGGAGAGATGATGGAGTTGGACGGGTGGCGCTGGATGACGTGCATGGGGTTTTGGATGGGGAGGGGGTGGATGGCGAGGGAGGAGAGCACCGCGACGACGACGGTTGTGTCGGCGCAGGGGAGGGGACTGCTCGACGCGGGCCACTGGGCAAGGATACTAAGGGGGGCGGCGATGACGAGCTGTGTGTCCGAAATTGGATTTAACGTGGGTTTCGCGTTGAAAAATTCAACGCGCGTTGAATTCGCGTTAAAATCCCGTTCAAACGCGAGTTGGACGCGAATTAACGGGGTCCGGGATGATTTTTTACCTGGGCTAAACATTATCCAAATACAAAATAGAAAATATGGGGTTGTAGATTTTGTTGAGGACTACAACCCTGTATTTTTATTTTTATTTTTTGATGCGTAAATCTATTTTTAAAAAATCAAAAACATAAACACACAATGAAAAAACAAAAACTAAAATGAAATGAGTGTTTTTGTTTTGGGTTTCACACAAATTTTTTAAGGGCTAAAAAAAAAACAAAAAAAACAAATAAAAAATATAGGGTTGTAGATCTTTCAAAGATGTATAACAATTTTTTTTTTTTTTTT